GGAGTAAAAGCAATTTTCAGTGTGGGGACCCCTGGTTACCAATCACTTGGGCTGAACATTCGTCGTTTTCCTCAGGTTGCAAAGCGATGATTGTGGCTTTTTGAAGGCACGGTGCAGTGGACTAGAAAAATTCGCCTTTTACACTTTTGTTGATAGAGGCGAAAGGCTGGGTCAAATGAAAGGCAGAGGGGAAGCAGAGGCCTGTGAGGGCCTTTGCAAAAAGGAAAACTATTTCCAGTGTTTGACTAGGTACCCCAGTATCATTCTTCCATAGAGGATGGTGTTGAGCCAGTGCATAAATTGTGGGAATTAGACAGCATTGGAATAAATGTAAATGAAGAAAGTCCAGACGATTCTTTTACTCAGGATTAGATTTTAGATTTTGCCACCGAAGTGGCTAGTTTATTGTGCACCCCATATCCATCCTGTGGACGGTAGCGTGAGAGCATATGGATACACAAAAGGCCTAGGAACTAGGGCCNCCCCAAAGGGTTAACAGGAATACATATGGATTTATATCTACATATCTATAGTTCACTTATCTGTTACAAGCAAATTTAGGAAATTTGCTTAGTATATCTGGTATCTTATTTTCATTAATAAGATATCTTGACATGTCACATAGGTTATTATACTGTCTGTCTCTGTATTCCTCAATAAGTGCACAATTAAGCACATAGTGTTCAAGACAGTGACCATATGCGTGATCACATAATTTACATTTAGTTTGATCATCATCTGTGTGTCTCCCAAACTGCCAGAAGTACTTGTAACCAAGCCTAAGCCTGGCCACTACAACATCAGTCAGAAATTGTAACCAACCTAAGCCTGGCCACTACTTCAGTCAGTCTGTTCACATTGCAAGTTGCTCCATAAAAATACTTATCTAGTTCATGTTATCATAGTGGGTTATAGATCTACTCAGGCTTCTAACTGCATTCCTATAACAATCATTTTCATTATTTACTTCTCTCCTAATATTATTCCTAATGCTAGACACAGTTATACCAAAGTTATATTCTACATTCTCCTTCTGGGTACTCTTCTTGGCTAAAAATATCAAAATTTATCATGAAGGAGTAATCCAATGTGTGATGGGATCCAGAGCAATTGTACATTAATTCCTTTGTCCCTAATTTTTGAGGGATCTATACCTGGCTTCCCCAAAGAGCATGTTGTTGGAGTCATTATATGAGTCAAGAGCCTTAATTTATGACATAGAATCATAAAAGATGATAGAGTCAAGCTCAGTGTCATAGGTTAGCTTTTAGCGCCATTAGGATTGTAAACAAATTCAGTTTGCAGTTTTAGACGCCCAGTTTTTAATTCTTATTGCCTACTCAACAAATTTATTATCGTTCTTAACTAGGGAGGTGGCAACAAGAGCAGATGCAGCCTTTCCAGAAGACTCCTGTTTAGATCCATCAGTGTATATAACTTGTGATAACTTATTACTACCAATTAGGTGAGAAATTTCTTCTTGAGCAGTTTCTCTAACAAGAGATTTAAGGAAGGGATTACTAGCAATGAGCTTCTTGGGAGGGACTTGTGGGTATGTGATATTAAATGAACACATCTTCCATGGAGGGGTGAAATGCTCTTGTTGCCTACAGTGATACAGTTCATGTAGGTTATAAAACTCAATGCAATTGCACGTTTTCACAATCCATTTAGATCTGTGTGTATTTACCTCTAGACACTTGGTAAGATTCACTGTGACAGTGTCTGGTTCGTTTCTCAACATTCTAATACTGAGTACGTCAGGAGCAGTACCTGAAAGATGTAAAATTTGAATCTGGACAATACTGGGTACGACTTCCGTGGAGATTGAACCATCCAGAATTGCCCACTAATTACAGAATGGCATATGGGCAGTAAAGGCTCAGCTCCGAAACTGAGTAAGACACCAGAATTGTTAACTGCCTATAATGATATAATTGCTGAGCAGTTAATTAATAAATTTATAGAAGAGGTACCTCCTGAGCAAGCCAAAATTTATGGTCACTATTTGCCACATCACGGAGTGAAGAAGGATTCTAAGACCACTCCTTTGAGGATTGTGCTTAATTGTAGTGCCAGGAGTTACAAAAATGTACCTAGTTTAAAGGGACTGTTTGATGACAGGTCCTCGTTGAGGGAAAAAATTAGGAGATATCTTATTAAATTTCAGGGTAAAGAATTATGCCTTTACGGCTGACATAAGTAAAGCTTTCCTAAGAGTGGGTTTACGAGAGGCTGACCGGGATTGTAACCCGCTTCTTATGGGCCTGAGAATCTAGTGACCCACTTAGCCCTCTAAAAACCTTTCGCTTTAGTAGGTATTATTTGGTGCTGCATCCAGTCTGTTCCTACTTCAAGCGACGATAAATGCACACCTTAAACGTATGGAAAGTCCATTGAGTAAAGTAATGAGAAAAACAATTTTATGTGGATAATTTCCTGGGTTGTGACGTAAACTGAAGAGGAACTGTTAATGACTTATGGAGGGGCTAATAAAATAATGCAAAGTGCAAATATGCCTCTGAGAGAATGGAATAGTAATTCGTCCAAATTGAAGGACAAAATAAGTAAAGATTACCCTGGAGATGAAGTGCCCAAAATGTAGTAATGTACTGGGTTTAATTGGGATACTGAGAGAGATTTGTTAATGTTAAAACCTAATAATTACAGTATGCCAAAAAATTTAAACCCTAAGAGAGTTTTGTTTGTTGAAGTTCCAAATGTTTTGATCCACAAAGGTTTAGTGTCACCCCCTTACTATAAAAAGGGAAATTATTAATTCAGGAAGCATGGAAACTTAAATGTGCTTGGGATGAAATTCTACCTGAGGAATTCATTAACAGGTGGGATGAATTAATTGGTGATTATGAAAAAATTCCAGTGTTGGAGTTCCCACGCCAGGTGGCCAATCCAAATGGGAAAAATGTACTCCACATTTTTTGTGATGCTTAAAAATTGGCAAAATGGAGCAGTTGCTTACTTCAATGTAATAGTGTTATTTCTCTTGTTATGTATAAGGCTAAAGTGTCTCCAATTAAATCACATACCTTGCCTCAGTTGGAATTAACAGCCATTTATGTAGGTGTCAAATTAGCTAATTATATAAGAAATAAGTTGCATGAGGTAAATATTAGCGACACTGTAATTTGGTCTGATAATGAGGTATCCTTACAATGGATTCGCAATGGAAACAGTAAAATTGTGTACGTACAAAACAGAGTCGCTGAAATTTATCAGATGCAAGAGAAGTATAATAGTTTGGGTCAGCATATGTTAACATTTAATCATATACCTGTATCATGGTTTAAGGGACCGAGCTGGTTGGTAAATAAAGCTAATTGGCCTGTACAAAAGGCGTATATTGCTCCTGTTGAAATTACTGTGACCACCGCTCCAATAGTTTATCCACCCTTAGCCATTGATATAAATAGGTATTCTTCTTTACCCAAACTAATCAGTGTAACTAAGTTGGTGTTTAAATTTCTAAACAAGATGAATATTTCATTTAAGTTTTCCCATCCTTTTGAATATTGGATAAAAAGGGTACAGGAGGAAATCTATGGAAATGAGATTAAATTGATGATGGAAAGAAAAATCGTGAAAGGTTCCATAATAGAGAAATTGGAGCTGTATTTAGAGAACAATGTAATTAGGTGCAGAGGTAGGTTACAAAAGCTGGGAAATTTGGGGGATTATGCTAAACACCCTATCTTACTGCCCAAAACTCATCATCTAACAAAATTGATTGTTCTAAATGCCCATAAAAATGTAATGCATGGTGGGGTACAAGATACCTTAAATTGTATTAGGGGAAACTTTCTGGATTCCACAAGGACGGCAAAGTGTAAAAAGGGTGATTAAATCTTGTGTAATATGTCGCCTTGTGGATGCCAGATCCTATATGTACCCAGGTCCTCCACTATTGTCAAATAAGCAATTTGAGTCATTTAGCAACGAACTCCGGCCGGCCGCAGTGTGGAAAATACTGTATATATTTTCCAGAAATTCAGTATTTATATGTATATAGATGGCCATACTGTATTTAATAATATTTATGTCATAGAAAACGGAGTCTGCATCTGTGCAGGAGACTCGCCATCTTGGTTTTGAATTTTGTACAAACATTGGTGTAATGGGAAGAATTTTTCGTGCTCTAGAGGTTAAAATTGTGTTGACACCTCTCAAATAGGAGGCGAAATTGGTGGATGTGCATTCCTGCATAACTTGAGATATCAGACGACTGGAGAAGACAGCTCCAGGAACCTCAGATAAGCTTTCTAGATTTGTGTGTAATTCTGGCCAGCATTATTTTCATACATTTAGTTAGAGTGAGGTTTTCTGAGTATGATACACATTAATCTCCAGTCAAATTGGTGTTGATATTAAGATATATTTTCCTTTGTTATGTAATTGTGTATATATATAACCATTTATTATTTTTAATATACAGTCCACAAATTTATATATTTACCAGTATTCCTGGTGTATGTATATTTCATTTAATTAATAGGTCCAGAGCAACTTGTGGTTATGACAGTGGTAGGTATCGAAGGGGGACATTTTTTACGACCTAGGTGTCCCAAATTCCTACTTGTCTATGTAACATTGATAAATAATAATTATCTTTGTTATCATTTACTGTTATGTACATAATTAGTTACATTCAGATAAATGCAATTTTCCACACCCATTGCCTTATTTGAGAGCTGAGACCGCTATCAAGTGAGCCACATAGTCCAAGATAAATTTCATTTGATTTCGGATATTTGTAGTCACTTTTTCACTAATTTTGTTAGGGCAGAACAAGTATATTATTTTAATTTAGCTGGGAGGAAGGGGAAGGGGAAGATCTAAACCCTGTAGGGGTCATATAATGATTAAGGAATGAGAGGCATGCAAGTTTGATCCATAAAATGCTAGGTTAAGTGGTTCCTTGGATCAAGAGCCCTTCACAGGCATCAAGGCACCTTCCCTTGGGAGAAATAAGAAGAGCCAACCTGACAAGTTGGTTACTTAGTGGAGTTTAAAGCCTATCGACTATACGAGGGTCATAGGAGATGCATGCTAACTGTTCGCCACTAGTCAAGAATATGTTAATCCTTACTGCAATACAATCGCAAAAAGACAATCTTAACAATGCAGAACAAACCATATGGGGATAGAAATCTTTAGCTCAAAATCTTTCGCACTCTCTGCGTGCCGTCAAGAGCTATGCAATGTTGCAAGACTAGCAACAGATAGAAGAGGAAAAATCGTCTATGAGGCAAGACAGAAGATTTAAGAGTTGGGCCATGTCACAGTGGGGTTTTCTATATTAATCCTTAACTTAAGGATTAAAGTAATCTCTCATATTTACACTGAAAAATATAAACCACTCAGGATTTGTATTCTGTCTGCTTACCCTTGTACAAGAACTAGACATAGTCTTACATGTCTGAGTAGGCAGGCACAGTGTCTGAGCATGTAGGCACTGTGTCTGGCCAGGTAGGCACTGTCTGAGCATGTAGGCACTGTGTCTGACCAGGTAGGCACTATGTCTGAGCATGTAGGCACTGTGTCTGACCAGGTAGGCACTGTGCCTGAGCATGTAGGCACTGTGTCTGACCAGGTAGGCACTGTGCCTGAGCAGGTAGGCACTGTGTCTAACCAGGTAGGCACTGTGCCTGAGTAGGTAGGCAGTGTGTCTAACCAGGTAGGCAGTGTGTCTAACCAGGTAGGCACTGTGTCTGAGCAGGTAGGCACTGTGTCTGAGCAGGTAGGCACTGTGCCTGAGCGGGTAGGCGCTGTGCCTGACCAGGTAGGTACTGTGCCTGACCAGGTAGGCAAAGTCTAGTTTACCTGGAGAGAGAGTTCCGGGGGTCAACGCCCCCGCGGCCCGGTCTGTGACCAGGCCTTATGGTGGATCAGGGTCTGATCAGTGGAACGTTAACTTAGCATTTGTCTTTGTACTACATTTTGCACCAGTAACTGTACTTTCTTCAGTTACTTCTTGCAGTTTTTGCTATCACCCTAGTATTTGTTTTCTTAATTGAAGTTCCACTATTTATCTCCAGAACTTTCATGAGATGATAGGTTGACCATCTGACGCTGTGGGTTGACTAGTAAATAAGATTAAGAGTCAAATATAATGTATTTATTATTATTTATTTAGTTGTTAATTAAGTCAGTATGGTGACATGTGTATATGTCACTGATATAAGTGTTGCAATAATATTATAAGAAATTGTCTTTGACTTTATTATAGAGGTATTTACTATATAAAATATAGGGTATGTTTAAATATGTGTGAGGGTTTATTTAGGCAGTAAAAGAGGAATATTGAGGTAATAATTTACCAGCAGCTTCATAATTTGCGCGCGTCGTGGTGACGGTGTTGACTTTTGAGTGACTTGCAGCAACATGACGTCCCGCAGGAAAACTAAGAAAACCAGCAGTAAGTAGTGTGGTGGAGAGGCTGTGGTTGATGTGTAGTGGTGATGGAAGAGTAAGTGGTGGTGATGGTTTAGTAGAGTGTATGGTTGGTGGGGGAAGAGCACCACCACCACCACCCAGGCTCCAACACTACCCTCACCCACCACCATCACCATGGCTGCTACTCACGTTTTAGTGTTGTTCATCTCACTGTAAGGCTGGAGGTGAGGCAGCGGGAAGCTTCCAGTATATTGTACACGCCATGAGTGGGTATATTACTCTAGGTGAGGTAGAGGGAGGTTCATGAGGCCAGGAGGACACCAGCTGACAGTAATGATCACGTCTGTACCAACACTACACAACCTTACACTTTTCTTACCATCATCTCTCCTGTCTTTATCAACTCTCCCCTCCAAGTTTACACTTTTCTTACCATCATCTCTCCTGTCTTTATCAACTCTCCCCTCCAAGTTTACACTAGTTTTAATAAATGTTGTATTGAGAGGAATTTTTGGTTATTCATAATTTATCACCAGTGTTTACCAATAACAATCATGCCCATAATGCAAGCACTAAAATATATATTGTCTGTAAAAAATTATTGGTATATAACTACACTAAAGGTTTCTTATGTACAAAGGAGTTCCTGCTGCATATTTTTCCTGCTGGGAGTTGTAAAAACATCTGGAGGTTATACTTAAAGAATTATTTTAGTTATACATTACATTAGTTTGTATATGGTTTACCAAGTTATGGTTATGTATAATATTGTGGCTAAACCTTTCAAACATGCTAAAATGAACTAATTATTCCCGTGGGGGCCCCCCTCAGTGGAGGTTCCTAGGTTCTGGTGGGAACTTCTTGATTAAGCAATTTGACTTTATGCTTCCATTCCTTGAATTGAGCCTGAATGCCTTAGTCTCTCCAGATGCTGTATAACTCCTTCAAGCTTAGCACTCCCCCTGAATATTATTATTATGAATATTATTATTGCTATGGGTTTAATTGCTATATTTAGAAACATGGTTGTTTCTCAAGAAAATGCATTTGAATTATGGTAGTAGGTTAAATATTTATTTCTTACAAGGAAAAATACATAGCCTGTAACAAAATTGTAAGCATCTATGAATGTCAAAATTTTGGACTAATACTAAAAATAACAAAAAAATTTAAACCAGATTATTTATATATATGTAGTACACTAAAATATAGAATTACATAGTAGTGTAATAAAAATTATGGTAAATATTCAGCATTTAGTAAAAGGTATTAAATTATAATATATTGGTAAATTGAAATATCGACCTTTGAAGGCTTTCAAAAGTTTTCCTACCATCTCAGCCAGGCTTGTCTTAAATTCGAAAGGATTATTAAAAAACAAATTGGAATGTACAGTAATAATGAAATAATGACCAGAGATATGATTAAATTAAAACTGATGAGGAACTTCCTGTAATTTATGCATCTCTATATACGTAATGTAAAAGTTTAGTGGCAGCTTAAGGAGTTAGATCTATTTGTACTTTATCCCCCCCTCCTTTTTTTTTTTTTACAATGTAAATTCTCCCATATAAGTGGGTTGTGCAGTGGAGCCAGCTGTATTTTGTAGAAATGCTGTAGGAAGAAACTTTTTCATATAACCTAAGCTAATGAAAGACAGCCTAACCTAGAATTTCATTCATGATCTAGGTTAGGTTATGCTATTAAGTTTACTTACCAGAAAAGCTTTATTCCTATTTGCTCAGAATATAACTGTCTGTACTGCACAACCTACTTAACAATAAGAGAATTTACTTAATAAAGTATACAATGGTACCTCGGGATATAAACTTAATTCGTTCCAGAAGGCTGTTCGAGTGCCGATACCGAACGAATTTGTTCCCATAAAAAATAATGTAAATTAGATTAATCCTTTCAAACCCCCCAAAAATACACTTACAAAAGCACTTACATAAATACATGTACACTTACATAATTGTTAGAGTTTTGAGCTGTTCGTATCCCAAGGTACCACTGTACAGGTAATCTTATTTTACCTAATCCGTTCCAGAAGGCTGGTCGAAATCTGAAATGGACGAAAACCGAAGTAATATTTCCCATAAGAAATAATGTAAATCCAATTAATCTGCTCCAGACACCCAAAAATATTAACAAAAACCATTTTATAGAAAATAACTAATTTTACATACAGAAAACAATGAGAAATACAGTGGACCCCCGGTTAACGATTTTAATCCGTGCAAGAGGGCTCATCGTTATGCGAAATAATCGTTATGCGAATGAATTTTCCCCATAAGAAATAATGGAAATAAAATTAATCCGTGCAAGACGCCCAAAAGTATGAAAAAAATTTTTTTTTACCACATGAAATGTTAATTTTAATACACACAAACTGAAAAAGGCATGCACAATTACATGACACTTACTTTTATTGAAGATCTGGTGATGATTGATGGGATGGGAGGAGGGAGAGCATATCTTCTTACTGTTTAGAAGGGAATCCCCTTCCATTAGGACTTGAGTAGCAAGTCCTTTCTGGGGTTACTTCCCTTCTTCTTTTAATGCCACTAGGACCAGCTTGAGAGTCACTGGACCTCTGTCGCACAACAAATCTGTCCATAGAGCTCTGTACCTCCCGTTCCTTCAAGACTTTCCTAAAATGGGCCATAACATTGTCATTGAAATAGTCACAGCACGGCTTGCAACAGCTGTGTCAGGGTGAATTTCATCTATAAAGGTTTGCAGTTCAACCCACTGTGCAACACATTTCCTTAATCTTTGAAGAAGGCACAATGGATTCCACAACTGGCATAGGCTTTCAGGGTTAGCCCCAAACCCTTCAAAATCTTTCTTAATTCCATACTAATTCTCACCCTTTTTACCACAGGGTTGGCACTAGAAGCTTTCTTGGGGCCCATGGTCACTTATTTTCCAGAAACAGCACCGAAAACACTGTAATAATACGAAATATTCCGAGTGTATGCTTGGATGTTACCGCGGAGGCTGGCTGGTAAACAATGGGACGGCCGGCACATGTGAGGGCACATTGGACGCGTCTCGGACGAAAATCGGTAAGCGGGTTTTTAATCGGTATGCGCGGCAAAAATTTTGCGATAAAAGTAATCGGTATGCGGAAAAATCGCTATGTGATGCCATCGTTATGCGGGGGTCCACTGTAGATATAAAACATTAATTTTAATGGATAAATGAACATTTAAATCACTATTACATACCTTTATTGAAGACTCTTGTTGGTTTGTGGAAGAAAGCGAGGAGGAGAGAGAGAGAGAGAGAGAAGAGGTTATTGTTTGGGAATCCCCCCCATAAGGATTTCAGGTATCCAAGCCCTGGCCCGTGTTACTTCGCTTCTGTGTCTTTTACTGGCACTAGGACCAGCTTGAGAGTTACTGCACCTCTGTTGCACAAAAAAATCTGTCCAGAGAGGTGTGTTTCTGGTGTCTCTAAGATTTGCATAAAATGGAACAAGATATTGTCATTGAACATGTTGCAGACACAGCTTGCAACAGTTTTGTTAGGGTGATAAGTCTTCGCAAAACTTGGCAACTCGCATCACTTTGCACACATGTCCTTAATCACTGAAGAAGGCACATTCTCCCCTTTCTCTTCCTCCTCCTCTGAAGCAATTTCCTCAACTGCAATTTGTTGCTGTTACAGTTGAAGGTCTTGCAGCTCTTCAGTGGTTAGCACTTCCCTGTGGTCCTCCACCAACTCTTCCACATCCTGGCCACTCACATCCAACCCCATGGACTTCCCCAAAGACACAATTCCACAACAGGCATAGGGTCATCAGGGTCAGCCTCAAACCCTTCAAAATCCTTCTCTTGGACACATTCTGGCCACAGTTTTCTCCAAGCAGAGTTCATTGTCCCAAGCAGAGTTCATTGTTCTGGAAGTCACTTCCTGAAAGTAGTAGTATTAGGGGGCAAGAACTTCACTGTGATGCCTGGAGTTTACCTGGAGAGAGTTCCGGGGGTCAACACCCCCGCGGCCCGGTCTGTGACCAGGCCTCCTGGTGGATCAGAGCCTGATCAACCAGGCTGTTGCTGCTGGCTGCACACAAACCAACGTACGAGCCACAGCCCGGCTGGTCAGGAACCGACTTTAGGTGCTTGTCCAGTGCCAGCTTGAAGACTGCCAGGGGTCTGTTGGTAATCCCCCTTATGTATGCTGGGAGGCAGTTGAAAGTCTCGGGCCCCTGACACTTATTGTATGGTCTTTTAACGTGCTAGTGACACTAAACTCCTCAAACAGTTGGTCTTCCAAGTCTGGAGGATGAGTAGGAGCATTGTCCATTACCAGGAGGCACTTGAGTGGCAATTTATTTTCCAGGAGGTGTTTCTTCACACTCAATGAAAATTAGCCTCGTGACCCATGCCTTATTGTTAACCTTCCACAGTACACACAATTTACTCTTCATGACATTGTTTTTCCTGAACACATTGGGATTTTCAGAGTGATACACCAGTGAAGTCTCCACTTTCAAATCCCCACTAGTGTTACCACAGAACAAAAGAGTTAGCCTATCCTTCACAGGCTTGTCAGTCCTGGGAGTGCCTTCTCTTATGTGATGTAGGTCCTCTTCAGCATTTTCTTCCAAAAGAGGCCTATTTCGTCACAATTGAACACTTGTTGGGGGAGGAATCCTTCAGCCTCTATGTACTCCTTGAATTCATCAACAAATTCTTCAGCTGCACGTTTGTCTGAACTTGCAGCCTCACCATGCCTTACCATACCATGTATGCCACTTCACTTCTTGAATCTGTTGAGCCAGCATTTGCTGGCCTTAAATTCACTAACAGCAGCACTCGTTACAGGCATTTTCTTTACGAGATCCGCATCCAAGTGCCTTGCCTTTTCACAAATTATCCCCTCCACAACACTATCTCCTGCTAACTGTTTTTTCGTTGAGCCACACCAACAACAACTCTACATCTTTGATTGTTTGTGATTTCTGTTTCGTTAGCATGTTTGCCCCTTTCGCAACATCAGTTTCCTTGATTT